GCGCCGCCACAGCGCTGGGTTGTGGGGTGCGCAGGGAGGCTGCTTGCTCGGCTTCGCCGGGAAGCGGCGTTTCTAAAGAGCTGACCCCAGCAGGCGTGCCGGGGGGGGGTAACCCAGGGGTGGTTGGGGCCCTTGCCCTCAGGTCTGCCATCCCGACGAGGGAAAGCAGCTCTCCCCCCATCCGTAACGGCCGGCAGCATTCTACCAGCAACTGCTGCAGGTCTACCGCTCAGTTCAAGGTCAAGTGGAACTGCGTGGGGAACGTACCCCGACTTCACGCCTCCGCTGCTCCTCAGGTCTCTCGCTGTGCTAGGAGCTGCCTGGGATTCTTTCACAACAAACAACACATCAACAGCAAATATTTACTTTTCCAGCGACTTGAGAAGTGCTATATACACCTGCTTACATCTGTGAACAAAATAAGCTCAAAACAAGCCGGATATAAAATGTATAATACAAAGAATACCATGAAATCCACAGAAGTCCTATTGTTGTTTTGAGGCCCCCATCTCCTTGTGAAACACTTGCCACTAGACCCTGGCAGTCCGAGAACTTGAACCATACCTATTAATACTTGTAAAAAAAAAGCCAAACAAACAAATTAGGTGATACATGGATGAAGAAGAACAAAGACCAGACCACTTCCACAGCGGAAAGGTTACAGCTCCACATGCAGAATTCCTGATGTGCTCAGAAACTTTCTTTACAACAAAAGGAACATACTCTTTTTCCAATACAGCAAACACAGCTTGTTCTCATACCAAGGAGATCCACGTAACCCATTGTCACTTATGTCTGGCAGTTACTCAGCCATTCCTCCCCACACATCTCTAAAGCAGCAATCCTATACAAATCTGAAGGATTTCAGACTAAATACTACTCTGAGCATTCTCTTTCTTACAGAAGAATGATGCCCACCTTATTTTTTACAGGCAAAACGACAACAAACTGGAAGAAAAACAATCAACCTTGGATTTCGAAGTGTCTGTCAGTGGGTAGCTAGCTGCGTGCTCTATCCTTCCCACCGAGGCCGAGTTCTTGATTGACAT